GGGAGGAGGTGGAGGACGGGAAGGAGAGGAGGGACCAAGTGGAGAGGAGGAGAGAGGAAAGAGGGGTAAGGAAGGAGGGGGAAAGGGCTTTTAATGCCACTGCCACCACACGCTACGTACCACCACCATTCCTCCACCCACCCTCTCTCCCCCTCGCCCACCCGTCAATTGCTCCCCATTCTCTGTCCACTCACCCTCCACCTCCCATTCCCGCCCCTCCCCCCCCATCCCCCATTTCCTCCGCTGGCTCTAACCTGGAAACAGGGGGAGGACGAGGACGAGAATTCCTCCTCCTCCTCCTCCTCCTCAGCATCTGCACCATCATCAACACCAGCATCATCATCAGCAGCAGCAGCATCCTCATCATCATCATCAGCATCATCGTCAGCACCATCATCAGCATCAGCAGCAGCATCATCATCAACATAAACAGCATCATCACCATCACCATCATCATCCTCAGCATCCTCAGCATCATCATCATCATCAGCAGCAGCAGCATCATTGATCATCACAACCACCATCACCACCATCATCAGCATCAGCATCAACATCATCAACATCAGCATCATAAGCATCATCATCAGCATCAGCACCGCCAACCTCCTAGTCCGCCTCATCATCATCATATCGGCAGCAGCATGATCAAAATCATCATCATGATCCGCATCGCCATCCTGATCAGCATCAGCATCATCAGCATCAGCATCAACATCATCATAATCAGCATCAGCCTCAGCCTCATCATCATCATCATCATCATCAGCAGCATCATCATCATCATCATCACCAGCGTCATCATCCTCAGCATCAGTATCATCATAATCATCATCAGCATCATCATCATCATCTGCATCATGAACATCAGCAACGGCAGCATCATCATCAGCATCAGCATCATCATCAGCATCAGAAGCAGCAGCTGCATCGTCAGCATCATCACCATACAATCACAAGCAGCAGCATAAGATTCATCATCATCAGTATCAGCAGCAGCATCACCATCATCATCAGCATCATCACCGGCATCAAAATCAGCATCAGCATCATCATCAACAGCATCAGCAGCATCGTCGTCGTCGCCGTCGTCGTTGTCGAGCCGTCGTCCGCATTATCGCCCACATCATAATCATCCTCATCAGCATCATCATCATCAGCATCATCAGCGTCAGCAGCAGCAGCAGCACAAGCTTCATCATCATCAGCATCACCATCATCATCAGTATCATCACCAGCATCAAACTTAGCATCATCATCAGCATCATGATCGTCGTCGTCGCTCTCGTCGTCGTCGAGTCGTCCTCCTAATCTTCCACATCATGATCATCCTCATCATCATCCTCAGCAACAGCATCAGCATCACCATGATCCGCAGCATCGTCATGTTCATCACCCGAATCAAGATCGTCCTCCTCCTCATCCTCCTCCTCCCCCTCCTCCTCAACATCATCATCACCACAGCAGCAGCATCATCCTCCGCATCATCCTCCTCAGCATCATCATCATCATCATCATCATCACCATCATCATCATCAGCATCATCATCAGCATCAGCATCAGCATCAGCATCAGCATCAGTATCGCCAGCATCATCATCAGCATCAGCATCATTAGTGTCATCCTTTTTGTCTGTCTCCTCCGTCTCGTCCCACCTCCCCCTGCACATGCATCCATCTACCAATCAGCATCATCGTGTGCATCATCAGCAGCCGCATCCTCACCACTATCAACACCAGGAACGGCAGCGGCATCGTCATCGAAACCGTCGTCGTCCTCCTCCTCATCATCCTCACCATAATCAGCATCAGCATCAGCATCAGCATCAGCAGCATCATCAGTATGATGATCATCATGATCATCATGGTCATGATCATGATCATGATCATGATCATGATCATCATCATCATCATCATCATCATCATCATCATCATCATCATCATCATCATCATCATCATCATCATCATCATCATCATCGTCAACATCAGCAGCAGCATCATCATCAGCATCATCATCACCATCATCACCAGGCCACCACCACCATCATCATCAACATCATCAACATCATCAACAACAATATCACTGTCCAACGCAATATCCTCATCCGCCTCCTCCTTCTCCTCCTTCTGCTCCTCCCTCCTGCCTCCCCATACATCCGTGCATGTATGCGCATCCGCATGGTCATCTGTATCAGCAGAAGCCGCAGCCACGTCCCCATGAGCGTTATCGTCGTCACCGTCATGATCATCAGCAGCATCGCCAGCATTAGCATCATCAGCATTATCACACGCATCATCCTCATCATCGTCCTGATACGTATCTCCACCATCCGTATCGTCGTCCTCCGCTTGCCGCTCCTCAACACATCATCAACACTTTCATCCGCATCCTCAGCCTTGCCCTCCTTGTCATCCTCATCCTTCTCCCCATCCCCCTTTCCTGCCCATGCTTCCAACCATGAATGTGCATCCGTAGCGTCATCCGTATCCTCAGCAGCCGCATCAATCGTCATCATGCTCAGCATCCTCAACAGCAGCCGCATCATCGTCACAGACGCCATTAGCATCATCAGCCGCAACAACATCATCAGCATCGTCATCAACATCATCAGCATCCGCATCATCATCGGCATCATCAGCAGCAGCAGCATCTGCATGATCACCATCAGCATCATCATCCTCCTCAGCATCGTCAGCATGATCATCAACAACATCATCAGCCTCATCGTGCGATTTAGCATCGTCGTCGTCACCAGCATCATCATCATCATCATCAGTATCAGCATCGTCGTCATCCGCATCGCCGTCGTCAACAGCATCGTCATCATTATCATCAGCAGTATAACCATCAGTAGCATCATCATCATCATCATCATCAGCAGCAGCAGCAGCAGCATCATCATCACAGTCACCACAATCATCAGCACCGCCATCGCCATCGCCAGCATCGTCCCCGTCGTGATCGGAATCGGCATCAGTATCGTCAATAGCATCCATCAACTGCATCAGCATCATCATCATCATCAGCAGCAGCAGCAACAGCATCAACAGCATAAGCATCATCAGCCTCACCAGCATCGGCATCATCGTCAGCAGCAGAAGTAGCAGCAGCAGCAGCAGCAGCAGCATCAGCATCAGAACAGCATCAACATGATCAACATCACCATCGTAACCCTCGTCATTATAGAGGATGGTGAAAGCTGGCGACGAGTAAGAAAAAGAATGGCAGAGAATGAGAGATGCAATAACGAAATAACGAAAGAGAAGAAGACACTACGATAATGACGGCGACAAGGAAAAAACATGTAACAAACACTCAAACAGCAGGGCAACAAGGGCGAAGTAGCGTCTTACTTATAAACATCGTATGAAAACGACGAGGGGCTTCACCATCCCCAGGCCTCGAGAAGCTCCTCCCAGCCCCAATATCCTTCCGCTTTCTCCTCCTCTTCTTCGTCTGCATCCATCCGTTCTTAGTCTTATACTGGTTCTCATTAATGAATCTCCCCGCCTCCACCTCCTCGTCCTCCTCGACATCTTCCTCCTCCAACCCTTTCTCATCGTCCTCCTCCTAGTCGTTGTGCTCCTACTCGTCATGCTACTCCTCCTCCTCCTCCTCCTCCTCCTCCTCCTCCTCCTCCTGCTTCTCAAGCTCTTTCTCATCATCCTCCTAGTCCTGGTCCTCGTCTGTCTTCCTAATCCCCCCTCATTTCCACCTCCGGCATGCATCCATCCGGCCATGGCCCTCCCTCCCGCAGTCACTCACGCCCGCCTCTTCTCCCTCCCCATCTCCCTCCCCATCTCCCTCCCCCTCCTCCCCCCCTCCACATATCCCCCCTCCCGTCTTTCATTGGGGCGCCTCGCTCCCCTCCCTTCCCTCCACTCGCCTTCTATACCTCCTCCCGTCCATTGCCGTCTCCCTCCTCATTCCTCGCACCCTGTCGATCGCACCTGCTCATGCTCAAGGCGGAGGTCTCCGCGATGCACCCGCAAGTCTCCTCAGCTGAGGCCTCGCTGAGCCTTCGCGAAGAGCCAGAAACGTCCGAAACCCCGAAACCCTGGATCCTCGAACCTCCACCCTGCTCCCTCCTCCTCGTCCTCCTCCTCCTCCTGCTCCTCCTCCTCCTCCTCCTCCTCCTCCTCCTCCTCCTCCTCTTCCTTCTCGCCCCCCCTCCTCCGTCTCCTCGTCCTTCACATCCTCGGAAGTCTCCCACTGAGGCCTCTCTGGAGCCCTCTGGGGCCTTTGCAAAGAGACAAATACGTACGACCCCCCACCCACGCACATCCACCCTGCTTGCGAGGTGGGAATGGATCCGTCACCACCGCCCGAGGGATCGAAGATCGATCCCCCCAGGGGGTGGTGCTGGATGAATCCCCGCCTCGGACTGCTCCTGCACTCCCGAAGCGGACTGCGCCGATGGTAAATCCCCGTCTCGGACTGCTCCACCACGGTGACAAGCCCACGGACCGAATCGAGGAGAGCGGACGGCTACAATTGCGCGCGCCCGCTCCGCTTTGATCATCATCCCTCGACTGGTGAAGCACGAAACGAAACAACGAAGGCATCGCATAGGGCGACCGTCCTCTCCACCTCCCACCGCCCCACTGGGCCTATCCCCCACTCCGACCTCGCCCCCTGGCCTTCGGGTCATACCTCGGCGCTCCGGCGGCCGCGCGGCACTGTCCCGGCCACCCCCCGGAACGCCCTCGGCGAGGCGCGGCTGCTGGCACCGACAAGAATGCCCGAAGGCCTCGAGCCCAAAGCGTCCCCCCCCGACTCGGCGACTCCGAAGGGTGCAGTCTGCAGAGGGTGCGGCTTGCAGCACGCATCCGCCTGGTGGCGGGCGAAGGCCTCGACGGAGACCCCTGCCGTGCCCCGACGAGGGCCCATCCAACCTTCGGATCAACGCGGCTGGGGACCCCCTGAGCCCACACGACGCCGATCGCAAACCACACCCCAGCGCAACCACACCCGATGTAGTCGCCGGCTGGCACTGCGGTGTC